TCCATGAGCCTAAATAGCCGGCACTTGCCATCCCGTGCTGGCTGTCATCTCCAAAAAGCGACTCTTCGTCTTAACATTTTCCTTTGCGCTGTCCAGGATACCGCCAAGCTGTGACAAAACAGAAAGAAAACAAAGCCAGGCACAAGACAACCAGAGCTCAACAGGGTGGGAGGGCAGGAAAGTCAGTGTTCTCCTGTCCCTTGTCTCTGCTGACTGGTGAGTCTCCTCCCTGGCCTCTTACAAAAGTGACCATTTGCAACTTTTGTATAATTTTTTCATCCAGCCCACTAGTCATGGGAAGCAGTCATGCTCCCCCTTCTCAAGTTGTCCAGGGGAAAACTATACCAGGACATTGTACACAACATAACCACCACAACAAGCTTTAGTAGTTGTGTTACTTAGAGTGCCACTGTCTCATTTCAGGTTTTATTTTTAAATTAACTCTTTCTAGTCCCTTACAGGCTAGTCTTAGCCTTACAAGAGATATCAAAGATAATACCTTCTGGAGAAAAGGAAATGGGGTGGGGGCCCTAAATTAGAATAAGGGGGGACCTAATGTCCTTCCCCCTGGCCCCCACCCCTGAGCGGTGGGTGGGGGCCCTAAATACTAATTAGGGGGGGACCTAATGTCCTCACCTTGGCCCCCACCACTGAGCGGTGGGTGGGGGCCCTAAATTAGCATGAGGGGGGGACCTAATGTCCTACCCTGGCCCCCACCCCGAGTGGTGGGTGGGGGCCCTAAATACTAATTGGGGGGGGACCTAATGTCCTCCCCCTTGCCCTCACCCGTGAGCGGTGGGTGGGGGCCCTAAATACTAATTAGGGGGGACCTAATGTCCTCTCCCTGGCCCCCACCCCTGAGCAGTGGGTGGGGGCCCTAAATTAGAATGAGGGGGGAGACCTAATGTCCTCCCCCCTGGATCCCAACCCTGAGTGGTGGGTGGGGGCCCTAAATACTAATTAGGGGGCAAACTAATGTCCTCCCCCCTGGCCCCCACCCCTGAGCGGTGGGTGGGGGCCCTAAATACTAATTGGGGGGACATAATGTCCTCCCTCTGGCCTCCACCCCTGAGCGATGGGTGGGGGCCCTAAATACTGTGTATTTACACGCTGTGTAAAATGACACAGAGCACTCTGATTGGTGGATTTCAAACCAACCAATCAGAGTGCTGTGACAGGTAAATGTAGACACTTACCTGTCAGTCTCTTCATTTAACTGTCAGAGCACTCTGATTGGATGGCTTAAACCCACCAATCAGAGTGCTCTGAGCCTAATTGCAGGGTGTGGCAAGGCTTTATAAGCCTTCCCCCGCCCTGCAGAGCTCAGTCTGCGCGGAGCATTTGCAGGGTGAAGATTAATTTTTTTTTTGCGCTCATTTTTTTTAATTATTTTTTTATTGCGTTGGTTATTATGGATTTTTATTTGGCCTTTCTTGGGGCTGAAAAAAGAAGATTTTAGAAGAAAGAAAACATCAAATGGTAAGTTTATTTTTATTTTTTTACAGGTACTTAGTTAAATGGTCCCCCCTCATTATTTTTAGGGTGAGGGGGGCAGGTAGGGGTTAATTTTTGGGGGGAGTGGGGTGACTAGGGGTTTGGGGACCCCTAGTCACCTGCGGGAGGGGGGGTTATTTTTTTATTTAGGGCCCCCACCTGACTCTCAGGGGTAGGGGCCAGGGAGAGGACATTAGGTCCTCCACTCTAATTAGTATTTAGTGCCCCCACCCACCGCTCAGGGCTGGGGGCCAGGTGGGAGGACATTAGGTGTCCCCCCCATTAGTATTCAGGGCCCCAACCCACCGCTCAAGGGTGGGGGCCAGGAGGAGGATATTAGGTCCTCTCCCCTCATTCTAATTTAGGGTCCCCACCCACTGCTCAGGGGTGGGGGGCCAGGGGGGAGGACATTAGGTCCCCCCCAATTAGTATTTAGGGCCCCCAGCCACCGCTCAAGGGTGGGGGCCAGGGGGAGGACATTAGGTCCTCTCCCTTCATTCTAATTTAGGGCCCTCACCCACCGCTCAGGGGTGGGGGCCAGGGGAGAGGACATTAGGTCCCCCCTAATTAGTATTTAGGGCCCCCACCCACCACTCAGGGGTGGGGGCCAGGGGGGGACATTAGGTCCCCCCCATTCTGATTTAGGTCCCCCACCCGCCGCTCAGGGGTGGCGGCCAGGGGGAGGACAATAGGTCCCCCCCATTACTTTACTTTAGGGCCCCTACCCACCGCTCATGGGTGGGGGCCGGGGGAGGACAATAGGTCTCCCCCTTATTTTACTTTAACTTTAACTTATGTTACTGTTCTCTCTATAATATTAAACATAAAGAAATATCCAAATCATCACGAAGGATTTTTTACAAAAGTTAAATCTGCCAAGAATTTCTGAAGGAAAAACTGGAAAGGTTAAATCCACCTTTCTCCTTAGGAGAGGTGAAAAGTGCAATGCTGGGCTTGAAAGCGGGGAAATTGCGGGGTCCTGATGGTTTCACAGCGTTGAAATCGCTGGGTCATGACAATTTCACAGCATTGTTTTATAGGATATGATATAGGATGGACCATGTGATTTCCCCACTACTGCTCAGACTGTTCAACCATTTTAGGGAAAAGTAGGACATACCGGAAGGGATGCTTCAGGCTTCTATCTGCCCAATCCCTAAGGTAGGGAAAGATCCTAGTCTAATTACAAACTATAGGCCTAGCTCCCTTATAAACTTAGATGTAAAATTATTTTCAAAAATCTTAAGATACTTAAGATACTAATTATAGACTTAGTAGAACCAGATCAGCCCGGATTTTTTTTCAAGGTAGAACTGGAAAGGATAAAACTCAGAAATTGATAGAGCTGATATCAGAGATCCAGCAGAATTCCATACCGACAGCCTTCTTGACATTAGATGCCGAGAAGACTTTCAGTAGTGTAAGCTGGGCTTTCCTATCCAAGACATTGGACAATTAAGGCTCTTTTTAGAAATATAAATACTATATATATATATGTATATATATATATATATGTATATATATATATAAATAACAAAAGAAAGCCTTGCACTCCTACCGAACATGAAATAGAACCCGGTGCTCGATTGCACAATAAATAACAAGCAAAAGAAAAATCAGCACTCCCAGGATTTGTAAATAAGCCAAAAAATACTTTACTCCACAGGTCCTGTGGAGTAAAGTATTTTTTGGCTTATTTACAAATCCTGGGAGTGCTGATTTTTCTTTTGCTTGTTATATATATATATATATATATATATATATATAACAAAGAGCACACCATATGCTGGTGTGCCATATATTGAGGAGGGCCTGGAAATATAGCTTGTATGGAGACCACTAGGAGCCCAATTGCATGGGCCAAATACTTGAGAGAAAGCCAGGTGGCAGTGATCATGCGTCTGATTTCCTTTTTGATGCTTTTTAGTTTTGTCACCAGGAGGTGTAGAGTCTGTTGGGTGGAGTTCATGATAAGACCGAAAAACTCAATTTGTTGAGTGGGGAATAAGAATGGATTTTTTAGAATTTATGATGAAACCAAGATTATGCAGTAAGGTCATGGTCCAACCAAGATGAGTATGGAGCAGTGGAACAGACTGAGATAGAATTAGGATATTGTCTAAATAAATTAGATCTGCCCCACAGGTTTGCAGGATGAAGACCACTGTATTCATGAGTTTGGTGAAGTACCATGGACTGAAGACAGATCGAATGGGTGGCGCCATTTCTGGCCTTGCCATGCAAACTTCAGGAAAACTTGATGAATGTCCATGACAGGCACCATGAGATTGGTGTCTTGCAGGTCTAGCTTCACCATCTAGACCTTTGGCAGTCAATGCCTTCCATCTTGAAATGATGGTAGGTCACATACGCATTGATCTGCTTCAGGTTGATTACTGGACTCCACCTCCTTTCTTGGGGACTAGAAACAAGATGCTCACGAAGCTCACAGTGTGCATTGGAATATTGAGCATGACCACCTGGCCCTTGGCGTGTGCCGCTAGTTAACCCTATTGACCTCAAAACCACCGAAAGACCCGACAAACAGCGGACCACCTTACCCCGGGATTGTGCCGACAATTAACCTCCCGGGAGCTGCAGTTTGTGGTTAACCGCAGCCTAATTGGCTGGCATCAGGGTGGTCACCATTCGGATCCAATTAACTGAACAGAATACCGAACCACCGCATGAAAGAACTGTCGAACGATGACCACCTAGATCAGGGGTAGGCAACCTTTTAGCAGCACTGTGCCGATATAGGATTGTGATGTCCCGTAGCGTGCCGGTCCTATTTTTTTAAATTGAGGTGTGTATGCTGCTGTATTCTGCTTGTGTTATTTTTACTGTAATTGCTTTGTATCATTGTATTTGTGCATATATGAGCTATTATATTGTATATGTTCATTAGTAGTTTATGGTATCCTGTATGATACATATGAATGTGGGCTATGTATGAGGGCTGCTTTTGGACTTGTGTGTGTGGATGGATTTGTCACATTGTGTATTTGGTAGTGTGTTTATGTGTGGGGCTGTTTGGGGTATTGCATGTGAGAGGCTGCATGTGGGGTTGTGTGCATGTATGTGGATTGTTACTGGTGTTGCGTTTGTGGGGATTGTGTGTTTGTGTGTGTGTGTGTGGGGGCTGTTCATATGAGGGGAGGGTTATTCTGCAGCTCTGTGTAAATCTAGCAGTGTGGGTGGGTTCCAGTGGGGACCAGGCTGGCCAGGTACAGGTCAAGGACAGGAGCTGCGATAGCTGTTGAGGGCTGCTCTACTACAGTGTGGATTCCCATTCACATGTGCTGGGAGGAAGTGATCAGAGATCACTTCCTCTATGTGCTGCAATGTATAAATTGAGGATTGTCCTTCACCACCTCTTCGTATTAGAAGATATCTGAAGTTTTACTGGGACTCCTGATAGGCCAGAGTGCGTTTGGCTCTAGCAGCCTTGAGTGCCGTGCAAAGACACCTCGAGTGCCGTGCATGGCACTAGTGCCGTAGGTTGCCTACCCCTGACCTAGATACTGGCGTGTGTCCTCAATTAAGCTGTGTTTTTTGCGGTTAACCGCACTCTAAGTATCTATTTCAAGGTGGTCGCCATTTGTATGTCGAACACGAGGCGGCAGCCATCTTTGTGTTGACGAATGCTCAGCGGGACCTAGGGCCAAAACTCCTGGAACTATAATCGGCTATTGATTTATACGAATCCCGCTGAGGTGCCGGTTATTCATGTGCCTGGGGATAATTAGGTTAGTGTAACTGTTGGGACCAATTATCTCCAGGGAATGATGCACTTTATCCTTATTGGTTGGGACATTGCATTGTCCAGTGTACCATCAGGTCCACAGGGGCTGTCCTCTGGCCTGATAACTTGTATAAATTGCCATGCATGAGTGCCATTAAATCAGTTCGTTTTACCCTCAACTCGCAGCCTTGACTCATGTTGTAGGGAAAGGTGTATCCTAGCTGTGCTGTAGCTAGTGGGATGTTCTACATTTCCAGGAATTAATACTGTATGCTGATTGGAGCGGATCTCCCTCTCTCCAAGTTCGGGAACCAGGATAACTTCCAGGGATACTGATAGCTTTTATTTCACCTTCAACAAGGTACAGATATTATTCCCTTAAGGGATACTGATAGCTTTTATTTCACCAAATTGGAGCGATTAATGGTAAAAGAGACTAAAAAGTGGTGGGAAATATCCTATTTAGAGAGTTATCTTAAGGAAGGTTTAATCCCCAGAGGATTAAGGGTGGAAAAAATTCCAGCATGTGGGATAGATAATGAAGAGTTTTTGAGCAAGTGGGACCAGATACTGGAAACCTGCTCACAAAATCTTATGAAATTGATAACTGAATTTGAAAAAGAAAATCGAGATCAAACTGAAAGTGATTTTAAGATAATGGAAACAGAGGGAACCCTTAATAGGGAACAGATTGGATATAAAGAAAGGGAACAAGACATTTGCACAACAATTAATCAATTAGAAGAAAACATTGCAGAAACAAAAAATAGCAAAATGAAGAGAGATAGAAATGCTAAAAAATTTAGCACTTTTTCCACAGCAAATAAAATTAAAAATAGACACACATATAATAATCACTTTAAAAGAAATACAAGGATTTCTGATGTTAATTATGGGAATAGATTTAAAAGAAATGCTGATTCTCCTATACTTAAACGGCACAATTTAATTAATCACTCTAGGTATCCACTAAATGATGGAAATAGGCACTTTTCTCCAATGAATCGAAAAAGTACCCCTCCTCAAATAGAAAATCACAAAATTTAAAAAAGGCATCAGGACACACTAGACAGAGGGAAAGGGAGGAGTCTATCTCTCCAAATTATTGTTATTCACCAAAAAGAACTTATGCACAGGCGGCCAGTAATAGCCAAGGAAATCACAAAGAAAGGGAAGATCTTTTTTTAGAAAGGGTATCCAATCCCAAAGAAGAGAGAATCACTCAATTTTTCAAACCCCGATACAACATCAAGGAAACCCCACGAGAAAGTCAGGTAACGCCACCAAAAAGAAAGAGGTCAGAGGAAGATCCCCGGAGGGAGGACTTCCTGAGAAAAAGGAACTAGAAAAACAATATGGAGTTTATAATTTAACTAATATAGAATTATCAACAGGTGATTTAAAAGCGCTTAATAAGGGATTAAAATTTGCCTCAAATCAGAAGATGAATCATTTTAACACATATATAGATCTCCAAAAATATATACGTAAAATGACATTAAAAAGATTCTTTCTAAAAAGGGATACAGAAGCCTCTTTAACATCTAGTGAGATCCCCAGTACAAAACAAAATTTATTTAAAAGAAAGTCTAATTTTTACCCAGTGGGAGATAGAGGTCCCTTTTTGGAGACTTTTAATAATATGGTGTGTCATGATTTGGAAAAGTTGGAAAAAGAAAACAATTGTCAGAAAAATAAATATAATATGAGTAAAGAAGAATCGGCAAGTATAACTAAATTACAAAAAATGGAATCCATAATCATAAAAGAAGCGGATAAGGGTGGAGCCATAGTCATCATGACCAAAGAATATTATATGAAGGAAGCACATAATATTTTAGGAGAGGTAAACACCTACACAAAACTCACAGAAGATCCAACAAAAAGGTTTAATTCTATCCTCAAAGTATTATTAAGTCAGGCATTTGAAGAAGGTATAATTTCTAAAAATAACATGGAATTTTGTATTTAATAATTTTCCTATAATTCCCATTTTAATTTTTTGCCCAAGCTACACAAAAACCCTATAACACCTCCGGGAAGACCAATCATTAGTGGCATTGACTCGGTATCTGCACATTTATCAGAATTTGTAGATCATAATCTACAAAAATATGCTCAAGAGGCACCTTCGTATCTGAAAGATACCTCACATATTCTAAGGATAGTAGAGGATATAAACTGGAGAGAGGATTTTATTTGGGTAACTATAGACGTTTCGTCTCTCTATACAATTATTAAACATCATAAAGGTTTAATTGCAGTGGAACGAGACATGGAGAAGGATGAAAGTGTTTCATCAAATTTTCGAAATTTTATACTTCAGAGCATTCATTATATTTTGAAGCATAATTATTTTTTTTTCTTTGATGACTCATTCTATCTCCAAATTACTGGTTCGTCCCCAGCTATGCCAACATATATATGCGGGATTGGGAATCCAACCACATATGGAGGGGGCATGGCTGGGTAGCGAACCTGGTCCTATGGAAACGTTTTATTGATGACGTTATAATGATTTGGCAGGGATCACATAAAGAACTGCAGTTATTTTTGGATTATATTGGTCATAATGACTATGGCTTAAAATTCACCTATGAGATGGATCCCACTACAATTAATTTTTTGGATGTTTGTTTCTTTGTTGAAAATCAGACTATACAACCTAAATGTCATTTTAAAAAAACTGGTGGCAACAGTTATATACATAGAAAGAGTTGCCACTATGATAAATGGTTGGAGACCATCCCAAGAAGTCAGCTAACAAGAATACGACGAAACTGCTCAAGAGATATAGATTACCATGAACAGGCTAAATACTTGAAAAATACATTTCTAACTAAGAAATATAAACCAGCGTTATTGGAAAAGGAAATTAAAGAAATTGAAAAGAAAGATAGGAAAAGTCTTCTGAAATCTAACCCAAAGAAAATAAGAACAAAAAAAGATTACCAATTTTCGTTTATTACACAATATAACACACAACATTGGAATATAAAAAAGATTTTAAACAGACATTGGGACATCCTATGCAAAGATCCTATATTAGGAAAGGTACAACCAAGAAAAGCACCAATAATTTTCAAAAAAACAAAAAATCTGAAAAACATACTAGCTCCAAGCTATGCGCTAAAAATACCACGGAAAGGTACAACTTTAAATATTAAAGGTTTTAATCCTTGTAATTCATGTAAGGCTTGTAAGAATCAGAGATATATACAGAAAAAAAGAATTTATGAGTACAACTACTAAAGAGAAATTTAAGGTTAAATCTAACATAAATTGCAACTCCAAGTTTGTGGTCTACCTGCTACAATGCCCATGTGGAAAACAGTATGTGGGAAGAACGGGTAGAAAACTGAAAGAGAGGATTTTAGAACATCAAAATAATATTAGGAAAAAGTCAACGAAACACATAGTACCGATTCACTGCATTAATTGCAGGAAATTTAATTGGAATAATTTTTCCTTCATGGGTATAGAGCAGGTTGATCCATACTGGAGAGGGGGCAATCTAAAGAAGAAACTCTCACAAAGTGAGACCTTTTGGATAAACAAATTAAAGACGCTGCAACCACATGGATTAAACCTAGATATAGACCTTTGGAGTTTTTTTTGAGAATTAAGATATATATGTACCTTGCTTCTTTCGGGATCACTAATGTAAATGCTGCATTTTTTTCTATATTCATTATATTTTTCTAAGTTAGGATAGTAGAATAACTTTCCTTTCCATACCATCGAAATTTGAACTCTTTTCATACATTCAAATAGAGTTTAGGGATTAATAAATTGCCCCTCCCCTTGTTTATATTTAAATCTAGTTCTAATTATAGCGAATATACATTCATAAAATTCTATTTTGTATTTCGAATTTTATATTCTGGGATTCAATTGAATTCTAATTATATATATATATGGATATTCTTATTTATTGAATTCTATTCTATATTAACCCCTTAAGGACCGAGGACGGTTCAGGACCGTCATCGGCATTTTTGCCTTGCCGACCGATGACGGTCCTGAACCGTCCTAACGGTCTGGGGGTACTTACCTGATCGCCGTCGTTCCCCCGGCGGCGATCAGCGTTGCTCCGGTTGTGGGGAGACTGCCTGCAGCCCAGACAGTCTCCCCACGGCAGATTAGGACCCCTGTGGCCATGTGATCGCTTAACACAGCGATCACATGGTCACAATAGGTGTCCATGTGTCTGCCTGCAGAGGGACTGTCTGTGCTGACAGGCAGTCTCCCTGCTTGTGTAAAATCAGAAGAAAAAAAATAAAGTTAGTGTTAATTAAAAAAAATAAAATAATTATATATGTGTATATATGATATATAGACATATATTATATCTATATAATATATGTCTATATATCATATATTTAATGTCATACTAAGTGTATTTTTATATTAATATGTACTTATATTAATATAAAAATACACTTATAATTAAATTACACACGTATATATATAATATATATAATAACTATATATATTGTATATATATATTATTATAAAATATAAATAATAGGTAATTTAAATTAAATAAAAAATTTTTTAAATAATAATAAAAAATTTTAAAAAAATTATATAGCTATATGAAATTTTATTCTAACTGTATTTTAAAATTAATATATATATATTTATATCAAAATACACTTAGAATGAATTTGTATATATATATCTATGTATATAAAAATAAATAAAAATAATAAGAAATATACATACGTCCATATACAAAATTACATAAATAATTATATAAATATACAAGTAGACTTCAAATATATAAATATGCATATATATTTAAATTCTATGTGCGTATTTATGTAATATTTTACATAATTCAGTAATTTTATTGATTGCAATTTGAGGGACCTGCCTGCCAACCCAGGCCGAAATTCCAGAGAATTTAATTTGCTAGCACTGTATTTTACCCTGTAACGTTCTACGGCACCCTAAAACCTGTACATGGGGGGTACTGTTTTACTCGGGAGACTTCGCTGAACACAAATATTAGTGATTCACAACAGTAAAACATATCACAGCGATGATATTGTCAGTGAAAGTTACTTTTTTTGCATTTTTCACACACAAACAGCAGTTTTACTGATGATATAATTGTTGTGATACGTTTTCTAGTTTTTAAACACTAATATTTGTGTTCAGCGATGTCTCCCGAGTAAAACAGTACCCCCCATGTACAGGTTTTATAGCATTTTTGAAAGTTACAAGGTCAAATATATGGGTCAAATATTTTTACATTGAAAATGGCCGGGTTGGTTACGTTGCCTTTGAGAGCGTATGGTAGCCCAGGAATGAGAATTACCCCATGATGGCATACCATTTGCAAAAGAAGACAACCCAAGGTATTGCAAATGGGGTATGTCCAGTCTTTTTTAGTAACCACTTGGTCACAAACACTGGCCAAAATTAACGTTCAATTTAGTTTTTTTACTTTTTCACACACAAACAAATATGAATGCTTACTTTGGCCAGTGTTTTCGACTAAGTGGCTACTAAAAAAGACTGGACATACCCCATATTGAATACCCTGGGTTGTCTACTTTAAAAAAAATATGTACATGTGGGGTGTTATTCAGAAATTTATGACAGATAATAGTGTTACAATATCACTATTGATAAATTTTAAAAATGTATGTTTTGAAACCGCAATATCCTACTTGTACCTATAGCCCTATAACATGCAAAAAAAAGCAAAAAAGCACGTAAACATTAGGTATTTTTAAACTCAGGACAAAATTTTGAATCTATTTAGCAGTTTTTTTCATTAGCTTTTGTAGATGAGTAAAAGATTTTTCAAGTAAAAGTCAAAAAACATGTATTTTTTTCAATTTTTCATCATATTTTTTTATTTTTTTAAAATTAAAATACATGAGATTATATAAATAATGGTATATAAAGAAAGCCCCTTTTGTCCTGAAAAAACAATATATAATTTGTATGGGAACAGTAAATGAGAAAGCGGAAAATTACAGCCAAACACAAACACCACAAAAGTGTAAAAATATTCCTGGTCGCAAATGTACAACATCGCAAAAACAGTCCAGTCCTTAAGGGGTTAAAATATTCAATCTAATCTTTCAATTTAATCAATTTGAATTATTTCTATTCTATATTATAAGATCTAATTCAATTCTCTAATCTAATCCATTCAAACTATTTCTTAAATTAAACGATGAGAGTGATTTCTAAGATTGATTAAACACTCGTTTTTGAGATATTTGATTAAAAAGAGGAGAAAAAGAATAAGGTATTATGGATATTTTACATCATATTTGAAAGAATGCAACATAAACTAGGATATCACTCTTTGTTCACCTCATAAATGTGTGTGCTCTTTTATTTTAATTTTATTTTTTTATTTTTTATTTTTTATTTTATTTTTATTTTTATATTTTTTTACTTTAATTATTTTTTATTTTTTATTGTTATTTCTTTTTTTATATATATATATGTTTTTATATATATTTTTTAATATTATTATTATTCATTATTTTATTATTATTGTTTATTTTTATTTATATTTTTTATCCTTAATTATTATTTAATTTATTTTATTCAACTTTTAATTTATTTTATATATTTATACAGTTTGTATAAGTTTTATTAGAATTGAGTTTGGTATATTATGAGTAACTTCCATGTAAATAAAATTCTGTAGTGCCATTTGAAGTGTGTAACCTTCACCCACTCTCTTTTTTCTGCCTCCGGTCCATATATATTGAATCTATGCCTCTTGAAAGAGACTCTGTAAAAGAAAAAGAGATGTGTGACTTGTGAATTGAGGATTTTGATTACTTCCGGGTTTCGGCGGTGGAACGCATGGTGGAACGCATGCGAGATGGACGGGCGCATAGGATGACGTCATAGAAACCGGCTGCCGGACCGAAAACACCTGGATCGAATAAAGAGTTTTGTGGACATTGGGAGGGGTATAAAGGGTGGAGGAGGGAAGGGTTTTTTATATTGTTCATTTGTATGCTGTCATTTCTGGTCACTGAAGTCCCTGAGGAAGTCCCACACACGGACGAAACGCGTAGGACCCCTGGTGGTGACAGTGAGAATACATCCATTGTTTTATATTTAGATGTAAGTGATTAAATTATTTTTTCTACATTTTTAAATGTGTACTACAGTTCTATATATTTCTTTCTTTTTGAGCACACACCTCTTAATTGCCCCATGAGAGTTTAAAAGGGGTGGAAGAACTTTTCCTGGAAAAGAATTTATGCTGAAAAAGAAATTTATTTTCAAGGCATTCTTACTTCAACGAAAGTGTGAGTGGCCACTTGTCATTTATACATTTGGTTCATTTCATACACACAGTTATGCGCTATGCATTTTTCTTGTTATTCATTTAGCAGATCATCCCCTCTTTTGCTACATATATTCTGTTGAAGACAAGAGGAAGTCTTTGGGGAAAATCCTACCTGGTTCAGGGAGGTTTTTTTCTGCTATTTATCTATTGAGCACTTATTGCACTGTGGTTTGTGCACACACATTGTTTTTTGTATTTCTGTATAACTTCCAGCCAGTCTGGAGGCAACCGTAACAGTCCCCTCTCACAATATTACTACAGACATGGCTACCGGCCTGGGTATGTAAGTTGAGAGGCGGGGGTACCAACATCTGGGCCTGCAATAAGGCATGCATAAAAAACTTTTGGTAAGCAAGCTAGACATAACTCCCATGGCAAATACCTGGGTTTTATTCATGAATATGGACATGGTAGAGGTAGGGAAATCAGTGTCATCTCCAGAAGTCAGCCATAGGGGAGAACCCTACAGGGATCTGAAGAGAAGCCTCTGATACAGAATATACAGGCAGGTCCTTATCAGACTGCATAGTAACCAAAACAGGAGTTTAATAGCCCACAGAATAAAAGTTTGACACCCAAATAAGCAAACCACCTAAATACCCAGGGTTGAATAACCCACATGAAGAGAAAAAGAAGGCAGGAAAAAAGGAGTCCTCACTAATGAGAAACATTAGGAAATGCAGGAAGCAAAGAGCTGTCTGAAAGCCACTAAAGCTGAACACCAACTCCAAGCAAGGGAGTATGGGGGCAAGGCTAGAGCACAAACGCTTGAAAACTCAGAAAAAATGGCTACCATTAGAGCTGAACGATAACCAAAAATATGGCCACCGTGAAACAGTACTAGGCAGGTAATTAAAAGTAAATTGAAGTGTGCACTTGGGGTAGCCAAACACAGCATGAAAGTAATAGATCAAAAACACATCTAAGCGCACGTGTAGGCCAAATGCTTGCGAAATAAAAAAAATGAATGTTCGGGAAACCAGTTGCAACACAAACAGCTACCCAAAAAGATGGCCGTCAAATTCGCAACTGAGGGAACTTGCATGCGCAGCATTTGGGGAAAGTAAATACCAACTCCAAGGATTCAGAGCAGGCCGGAAAGCAGAGATGACTGCGGGGGAATGGAAAACCAGAACGTGAGAATACAATAAAAAGAGGTAAATCCCTACGGTAAAGCAACCCTGCTGAAGTAGCCCAGGGTTCAAATATTGGACTCTGGAGGTCAGGTAGAGATTCCAATTAAGCAACATTAGAGAAAAAAAATAATAATATTTAAGTACAATAAAGTTAAGATGAAACAAATAAAAAGACCAGTACCCAAAGGTACAAGCAACAATTATCACTATAACTGATAAGTTAGGAACTGTGGGACCAGTGTTCTACTTAACTGAGGGAGCAGCAAAGAAAGAGGAAGTGGTCACTTAGGTGCTGCCTTTTACAGGATAAAGACAACGCTGATTGGTTGACTGTGTTGCTATGTGAATATGGTTGCTGTAATGTTCATTTTTTTTTATTGATTTTTCAATGTAATTTTCTTGGTGGCTGAGGAAAATAAAAAAAACAGTGCAGCATAATAGGAGCCTCTGTGTCTTTAATAAAATTTTTGGTAAAGATTTAATTTCAGTTGTTAAACTAATTTACCCTCATCTATCGCTCAAAATTATCCCTCAGGTTGCAAACTACACGTAGGAAAGTGAAATGAAGGCTTATGAATATTAAGATCTGTTGCGAGGAATAAAAAATAATAAATATATACAGTTGCAAGAAAAAGTATGTGAATCCTTTGGAATGATATAGATTTCTGCACAAATTGGTCATACAATGTGATCTGATCATCATCTAAGTCACAACAATTGACAATCACAGTCTGCTTAAACTAATAACACACAAAGAATTAAATGTTGCCATGTTTTTATTGAACACACCATGTAAACATTCACAGTGCAGGTGGAAAAAGTATGTGAACCCTTAGATTTAATAACTGGTTGAACCTCCTTTGGCAGCAATAACTTCAACCAAATGTTTCCTGTAGTTGCAGATCAGACGTGCACAACGGTCAGGAGTAATTCTTGACCATTCCTCTTTACAGAACTGTTTCAGTTCAGCAATATTCTTGGGATGTCTGGTGTGAATCGCTTTCTTGAGGTCATGCCACAGCATCTCAATCGGGTTGAGGTCAGGACTCTGACTGGGCCACTTCAGAAGGCGTATTTTCTTCTGTTTAAGCCATTCTGTTGTTGATTTACTCCTATGCTTTGCGTCATTGTCCTGTTGATACATCCATCTTCTGTTGAGCTTCAGCTGGTAGACAGATGGCCTTAAGTTCTCCTGCAAAATGTCTTGATAAACTTGGGAATTCATTTTTCCTTCGATGATGGCAATCCGTCCAGGCCCGGAGGCAGCAAAGCAGCCTCAAAACCATGATGCTCCCACCACCATACTTCACAGTTGGGATGAGGTTTTGATGTTGGTGTGCTTTGCCTTTTTTTTGCCACACATAGTGTTGTGTGTTTCTTCCAAACAACTCAACTTTGGTTTCATCTGGTCACAGAATATTTTGCCAGTACTGATGTGGAACATCCAGGTGCTCTTGTGCAAACTGTAAATGTGCAGCAATGTTTTGTTTGGACAGCAGTGGCTTCCTCTGTGGTATCCTCCCATGAAATCCATTCTTGTTTAGTGTTTTATGTACTGTAGATTCGCTAACAGGGGTTGCATAATCCCTTTTCATGCATGGTGTGTGATTTTGAACAATTTACATGTTTCTACATCTTCCTACGCAAAAGATCTGGGCTTTTAGGTTGGGTTCTCTGTTACTACAGGTCTCAAATGAAAGTCTTAAGTGTTTCCCAGGCCTCTCAATTATTATTGTATAGGTGATGAATAGCAATATATCCCAAGGGGATGGGTGTGATACCAAGTATTTACCAAGTGAATCAGAAAAAATTTACATTGTACTTACCATATGAAAATAATATGTTGTTTATGTTGTTTCCATTTCCACAGTTCATTTATCTTTTATTAACATAGAACAAAAATTTAAATTAAAAACTTTGGTTGCTTACTGGCTGTAATAGAAATAATTTGGATAGTGGTTACATAAAATTTGAACATAACCCTCACCAAGATATTATATATCAGACCATATAGCTGTGCACAGGAAACTATAGACACTATACTACATACCTCATAAAGAAGGATCACGGAAGGGAGAGTGAAAGGGAGTAGGTAAGTGTGTCTTGGAGTGAATATGTGTGTCTGACAGTGTCTGGCTGTAAGACAGAGCTGGGATAAAATTGTAGTCCTGGCATTAATAGGTCTTGATCACCAAAGCTTGAACTAGTACTCTTGCTTTCGCAGTAATGGATGGCCTACAAAAGTGGGAAAACTACAAAGTTTATCATAAATGAAGAGAAAACAGTTAAACTCAAGAAAGATTATACCACCAAAATAGTAAAATGTATCCTCTGGAAGAGGGTGTGGTTGGACGCTGAAGCATATGGACGGCTAGGAGAGAAATTATAAACCTTATAGCCCTTTTGAGAGATTTGTGAGTGAACTCACCCTGTTTTTGAGCTCTGCAAATCTGGCAAGCTATGGCACAACACAAGTGGAAAAAGATTGCTGAGAAAAAATGCACAAACTCCAGTCCACCCAGGACCAACGCCAAGATGATGAAGAAGACAAGGGAAGTGTGTAGCACAGTCGGATGTTGCCAGGCAAAGTTGCAGTTGCATAAGGCATTTTACAGACTCTGTGTTCAAAAAACTACTATCTGCAAGGACATACAAGACTTGGAAGCTAGGATCTACTTTACCTCCAAGGCCCATTTAGCTTAATTTCTCCTGATATCCCTCCAGGTATTCTGTTGTTAGATTGAGTGCATTTCCATGTTAAATATTAAAGTCAAGATGTACCCTGACTACCTCAATGAATATTTTTGTTCGGTATTTACAGATGAAAATGAGGGAAAGGGAGCTAATATTTAAAAAAGAAAAATAAAGAAAGAGGACATAGTCTTAAATGAGAGGGGCCACGCAAGCACGCAGCCCACCCAGGCTGAGGGCTGTGAGGAAAATGCCTCCGCAGCATCGACCACCCGGCAAGAGGAATGCCTGCCGCAAGCGGCGAAGAACAGCCGGCTCCACCTGCACCCGATATGGGAATGCCTTGAGCTCACAGAGCCCCCGAGTCAGTGGTCCGATGATGCCACCCTCTATATGGGCCTGGGTCTGGAGGGGGTCCTCGCGCCGCACAGGGCGCTCTAATAGCTTTTGCCTTCCTACCCCCGATGTCAACCTGCTGCGAACCGACATGGGCTGAGCGTGACTGATTTGTGGACACACGGTACTTTCTAATACTCTCCTCTCACTTTCTTTATTTCTTTATGGCCTGCTTACAAATGGTGAAACGCTATACTTCTAATTGTTGCCCTTAACGGCCTACGTTATAATTGCACTGTATTACCCTGGCAGGTTGCACTATATAGCAATGCAATCTACCGTAAATTTAATCTGTGGGACAAATCTAAACCATATGCCCAATCTTATACCTTGGACAGCTTTGTTATCCATGCAGAGCCAATCCGATACCACAAGACACTCCTGCATATACTTAACGTGTACCTGAACAGTCCCCATAAAAGCAAAGCAGGAGTACCGGGGCTAGCATGTAACTTACCAATTACATTCAGCTTAAGAAAGTCCATCCAAGCATTACCCTGACTCACATATGTTATATTACTGTCTCCTAGTCATGAGGTACCGAAACGTGAATGAGCACACTAAATATGACCCACTAATACATGTGTCACCTATTTAGCGTAAATACAATACAAGAAATGGTGGATTGGCGCTATAGAGCCAGAGAATATGCAACTACCCCCAGTGCCCAAAATCACTAAATGGCACTCAAATACAAAGTGATAGAAAAAAGAATATAAGGGGGGTGCACATAGAACAATAAGGAGGTATATTATACTTAATATAAGTAGAACACTTCCTGTTAGACCTATAATAGAAAAACACATATATAGTGTAACACTGTTATATACAGAACATTAATTGGTCTCAGGTATTGGGTCACTCACAGTGTGTAGAGCCATATAAAGCTGGCTCTAGCTTAGATGGCAGGTGAATAATAAGCTTATTCTGGCTTTCGATTTTCAGCTTTCCAAATAGCTCTGTTCCTTTTCTCCGCCCTTTAATAACAATTAATGTTCTGTATATAACAGTGTTACACTATATATGTGTTTTTCTATTATAGGTCTAACAGGAAGTGTTCTACTTATATTAAGTATAATATACCTTCTTATTGTTCTATGTGCACCCCCCTTATATTCTTTTTTCTATCACTTTGTATTTAGCGTAAATGCCTACCTGTAGCAGAGACACACGTCAACCACGTCTGTTTAGCCTGAAGTACAACCACTACTGTATGCAAGACTAGCAAAACTACTCTCTTGCAAACTGCATCTGAACCCTAGCATGTTAACACACTATACTATAAAACAATGCTGTCTTATATGTCACAATATATATTGCTTTTCAAAACAAAACTTAAAAATGAGGCATCGCTATCCTGAAAATGTTTTGCACTACCATTGTATTAACCCCATGCTATACACTACTCGTACATTTCCCCTGCTTTTTCTTCTGTATCCCATCCTATATGCCTTAAATAAAAACAGATTGACAAAAAAAATAAAGAGATACGGAAAAAAAAAAGAACAGGTTACTTCAACTCAGTACTACCAGCACTAGAACTGTAGTAGGGCATGATGCTTGGATTAATAATTTCCTTCAATAATACTGGATACTGAACATGCCAATCCAGTAAAGCTAGTGAGATGAATGTGTGAGAATTGAAACAAAGTATTTACATAATATTTCCACATCTAATGTAAGAAACAAGAGAAAAGTATACACATCAACTAACTATTCTCCAAACAGTAACTATCACTGTGGATACTTGGTCAATTGTGCGGCGGTCTCTCAAGAAAGCTGGCTTTATTATCAGTGGCAGAACTAATGTAGAGAGGGCCCTAGTGCAAGAAATGTTTTTGGGCCCCCTCTAACGCAAGGATAACCAAATGGTAGATGCCCATTTGTCATACAATTCTACAATTTGCCCTTCCTTGTACAATTTATTTGTGAGCAGTGTTTTTGCATTTAAAAGAAAGCATGTTTTTGTATAGAGTATGTGAGTGTATGTAAAGGCATATTTGAATGTACTGTTGCCATTGGAATCCGATGATGTGCTTGAGTGTAGTGTTTGCGTTTGAATGCAGGGGTGTGTGTGTTTGTAGAGTTGACTTTTAAATACAGATGTACATTTGTGTGTAGTGTTGGTATATGAATAAAAGAGTGTTTGGAATAAATGTTGGCGTTTAATACAGGGGTGTGTTTGTATGTACTTTTTGAGTTTACAGGGATGCCTTTGTATTTTGTGATGGTGTTTGATTGCTGGGATTTATGCATATACACACATAAACTACAACATACATACATACATAGATAAAAATATACATTTACACATACACAGATACAAACATATAAACACACTAACACATATGCAAATACATCCAGATACACACTGAAACACACATAGATAGACACTGACATATACAAATGCATTGGCACAAACAAACACCCTGACACACACATACAAAAAAACTGATGCATTAAAACACACTGACACATACAAACAACTTGAAAAACAGATACACACTAACATATTGGCACATACAAACATGCTAACACACAGATACACACACTGACACATACAAACATACTGACACACAGAAACACAACCATACACATGGATACACACCATGACACACAGATACGCACACTGACATATACAAGCACATTGGCACATAGAAACACCCTGACACACAGATACACACACTGTCTCATACAAACATACTGACACATACAAACACCCTGACACACAGATACACACACTGACATATACACACAGACACATACACACTGACGCAGATAAATACACACATTTGTCAGAATATTTATAATTTTAGCCACCCTCCTGTTAACATACCAGGAGGGTGGCTTGCCTGGGTCCTGATGCTGGCTTAGCCTGATGGGAGTGTGGGTCTTGGTCGCTCCATGCTTTTCCACCTTCTTTGATGCTACCTCCACCCAGGCCAAATTTTCCTCTTCTGCCTCAATCTCATTAGTTAGTAAATTGCAAATGGTCCAATTGTGCCAACATTTCGGTGACCAGTGATCCGCCACCAGTCACCGGCTCCTCTTAACCACAGTTCTCCTAGTCCCACAAGTCCGTCCATACAGTAGAGTGTATCATAGCAGCATAAAAAAAAAAAGAACAAATAACAATGCAGTATAACAAAATACAAATAAATCGTGAATATAAAGTGACAAGAAAACACTTGATAGAGCTTGTAGCGGATCCAGGGTAACCTAAGTGGTTACCTCCGCTAATTTCCTTCCTTCAGCTAGTCAGGGACCATTAAGGATATAAAGAGACCCTTTCCCCCCTGTAACTGGACAACACACAGCACTGGTGGTATAACAACAACCTTATTGGCCACACATGGCTTTTATACATAACCCTCTGCAAGGGGTGTACCACATAATCCTACAAGGTTACATCCCAGGATCCTCCCCCTCCCTGGCGCAGGAAGGGACCCTTTGTCCCCAAAGCCCACCACTAAAAGCACAGGGTTTCCCACCCCAGCTGCCAGGGGGTCTTCTTTCCAAGAGCCTCTGTACCTGGGAGTCCAGGCACGGGATAAAGGGGCCGTCCCTTTGTCTCCCAGACACAGGATAGCCCACCCGCAGGAAAAGAGCTGGTCTGCAGGCACTGAAAAACCCACCAAAGTTGTCAGTGCCCCAAAAGTGCCCACATCAATGCCAGGGACCCTCACAGCGGTACCTTCCTCGACCGGGCACCGCTTGTGAGGTCCCTGTATGAAACCCTGCAAGGGAAGTGTCTCCTTTCAAGGTACAAATGCTCCCCATGGACAAATTTTGTCTATACGAAATGGCAGCCACCCAGAGGAGCACTCATTAATTACTTCCCTTGCAGTTTCACACTTAGGCTGCGAGTGAGAACAGTCTGATTAATTGGTGTGAACGTATGTTGCGAGTGAGAACGTTCTGATTAATTGGTGTGAATATACCAATGAGGCACTAGGGAGGTCCTTGTTCGGGAGACGAACAAGTCAGGAAACAATCCATGAATGCTCCCCCTGGCAGGCGTTCATCTGTACCCAGGGGAGAACTCATTAATTGTTTCCCTTTGCAGATTGCGGTTTGACACCTATGTTGCGAGGTGTGAATGTTCTTACCTAACATTCTAAATGAGGAATCGGGGTGGTCCCCGTTCGGGAGGTGAATGAATTCCCTTTGTGGAAGCACTCCTGAATGGGAAGTGGGCACAATACACGAATGGATGGTGAAACACACACAATATGATGGAGGGCAATTTACGGACAGGCAGCGGTTCCGCCACAGAGCTATTAAGAGCTCTGCTGTAATAAGCATTGACAGTACAATCCCCATATATGGATGTAAGTTGTAGTCGGCAAGGGTCAGTAATTTCAGCGTCAGGTAGATGTTGAAATATATGAAAGAAACTAAAGAGGAAGGACACAATAGTGCAATATGTAGATACATAATATCAGGTATAGAAAAGGTGACCTTGTGATTTAGAGCTTTAGGTGGAATGACCTCCACATAAGGATATGCAGAATGCGCAAGGAGCCAGATGACATAAAATCAAAATATATATAAAATCAAGGAAGAAAGGTAAATTTAAAAAGTACTTCATATTTAAAACAAACAATAAGTTAAAAAAACTAATAAATAAAATATAGAAATTAGCTTTTGAAAAAGCTTTGGCTTATATTTTGTATTTGTTTGTTTTTTTAACATGTTGTTTGTTTTAAATAAAGTACATTTTTTATATTTACTCCTGTCCTTGGATTTTATATATTTTTATTTTACTTGATCTGCACATCCTGCATATGCCTAGATGGGGATTATTCCACCTAAAGCCCACACCTGTGCTTATTGAAAAGAAGAAACTATAGATTGCTTCATATAAGCAGGTGTGGTTCACTTCTTTCTGTTCTGCTGTAAAGGGTTAATGTTCTTGTTTGCACTGGAATTTGAACACACACCTTATCAGACAGATCCGGTTCCTACTAGAGAAATCTTTTGAGTACTTAGAGAGTTTTTTTTTTTCCAGTCTGAAAATACTGACTCACAATCTACCCAGCTCATGCAAGAGAACAGATTTGTTTTATTTTTATTTATACATGTGAAAAGCAGTATCAGAATGGGAAAGATGTGAATAAAGCTTTATGGAAGATTCCTACTATCCAACAAGGGGAACATGTTAGCTGCAAAGCTGATACATTAAGACTACAAGTAAGTCTGTATAAGGGGGGCTGACACTGTAACAAGGTTAGGGTGCAGATTGGAAGATACTTTTGTGTTTTGCTTTTTTTACCCTACGGTAGGAAACATGTCATGCCAGTTGCTGTTGTAGGAGTTTAACTCTCATTATCTCTCTATTTTCAAACCTTTTCAAGGTTAATGTGAGTTATTTTGGGATGATCTAGGAGAAATGCTGTATTTAAATGGGAAATTAAATACACAATGCATTATCCATGACTAAAGAATTTGAAGGTACTTACCTGTATGTATGTTTATTTCTATGCTACTGCCCTAATATTATTTTCATACTTGACGTTTCAAAAAATCCCTTTACCTAAACAGTAATTTGTTTTGAGTTGTCAAACTTGAATTGTATAATGTATACCAATATTGCACATATGTATGAACGATCTTTAGCTAAATTGGAGCTTTTAATCAATTTAACTATTTGGATTCAAATTTGCAAATCTGTTGTCAATTTCCCAGACCTGATTTAGTGTATAAACAAACCTCTTTGAAGTTGGAAAGATAATGAAAGAGTGGGTCTGAGCACACTGAGTTGTAATTTTTTTTTTTTTTATGTGTTTGGGTTTAGTAAAATCCTTTTTTTTTTTTTTCGTTGCATTTCAGTACCTCAATATGATTAAAAGGTGCCAGCAACTGGGAGTAAGTAAGGCCCAACAGCTTACATTAATCTCATACTATAGACTACATTCTCTGAGATACATAGAGCACCCAGATATGTCTATAAAACCCAGATTTTATTTTATTTTGTCCAAAAATACTGAATATATCTACTGGGTTTTTTTTTTGTTTTTTTTCTCATTAAGATATGAATTAATTTCAAATGAGTTATATACTGTCAGTACTGTAAGCTTGTTTGAGCAGGGTCCTCTTCAACCTATTGTCCTATTGTCCTATTTATAGTTAAATCCCCCCTCTCATAATATTGTAAAGCGCTATGGAATCTGTTGGCGCTATATAAATGGGAATAATAATAATAATAATAATACATCTGTAACAACTTGTAACCCAGCCCGGCTGCTTCCTCCATGGCCCTCTGATTTCAGGTTACACCAGCGATTAAACAGGTTTAGTCTGCAAAATTCATAATGTAATTTTATGAGAAAAGTCATTAAGTAGTGCATAATAGATAAATTAATCAAATAAATAAAATGGGCCTTTAAAACTACAATAATATTCTGCAACCGATATTTTAATGTAATGATAGGATGGCAGTCTTTAATACAAATTAAATTCTGCAAAAGGCTTGGAAAGTCTTTTCCTTCTGCATAACATATATTGTAGAACATATTTGTAATAAGTTTTCATGAAACAACTATTAAAAGATGCTCTTCATAATTTAGAATACATTGTGATGATACTGCATCCATTAATGGACAGCACAATTACAGCACCATATATGATTCAACTCCTTTTTTTGTGTTAACGATAAGGTTAGGGCTAGGTGGAGACAATAAAATAGATGATCACCTATTATAATGATAAGGAGTACTTATTGTTAAGTTTAGTAGGTATTTAGTGGACTGTCCATGTTAATTTAGGAAACATCGGTATTCAGCATATGGTAGACCGTAAATCCAATCATTCCTAACCATGCTGTGAAATGTTGGTAGAATTTGTTCTGTAGCATATACAGTGTCCATAAGTACACTACTTAAAGTGCTCAGGGTTATATATATATATAGGTAGTGTGCCAAACCCATTTTTTGACAGACAGACAGAGAGAGAGAGAGAGAGAGAGAGAGAGAGAGAGAGAGAGAGAGAGATATTGTATATTGTAAAAATACAATGTTTTGTAGACCCAGGACATACTTGAAAATGTGATAATTCTCAATGTAGCCATCCTGGTAAAATATTTTATAAATATATAAACAAACTAAATTATCCTTAATGTAACCTCAGATGGGTTATATATATATATATTTGGATCTTGAAGAAGACCCTGTAAGGGTCGAAACGTCGATCGTCTAAACTTGCACATGTTATTTGCACCAAAGAATAAATCAGAATTTTGATGAAGATCTCTCTCTCTCTCTCTCTCTCTCTCTCTCTCTCTCTCTCTCTCTCTCTCTCTCTCTCTCTCTCTCTCTCTCTCTCAATACGTACCAAGGTGCAAACCAGCGATATGTATATAGCAAAAATAGTAAGGTGCACTCCTGGATTTGAAAAATTACTTTAGTTTATTGTGCAGAAAAATCAAAGTTCAGTGGATCAACATTTCGACCATTACATACAGTGAATGTAATATAGATTAATGACTTACTAAAATCTGTGATGTGCCACCTCCCCCAACCGATCAAAACCCGGAAGTGTGTGAAGACCGCGCGTAATGTCATCGCGTTACATCCCGCTGTGTTTACAGCGGTTGCTAAGCAACCTTTGTGGAAACCAGTGTCTGTAACAAGTGATAGCCAGCTACTTGCTGTGCCAAAAATGGAGGATATTTAGAAGAGATATTGCATGCTGTTATTTTCACATATCACACTTTCACATTATATTACAGATATTTTTTGATTCACTCTTTTGATCACAAGGTGTAGGTGCTGCTCCTTGTCCTATCTTTATTTCTCTTCTAAATATCCTCTGTTTTTTGCACAGCAAGTAGCTGGCTATCACTTGTTATAGACACTGGTCTCCACAAAGGTTGCATAGCAACCGCTGTAAACACAGCGGGATGTAACGCGTGGTCTTCACACACTTCCGGGTTTCGATTGCTTGGGTGAGGCGGCACATCACAGATTTTGGTAAGTCATTAATCTCTATTACCTATATATGTATTTCATTCACTGTATGTCATGTTCTGATCTTAAAAAAGACTGTGTATTGGTCGAAACGTTTGATTTTTCTGCACAATAAACTAAAGTAATTTTTCAAATCCAGGAGTGCACCTTGTAAGAGATTATTGATGTGATTTTCTTGTGTGTGTGTGTGTGTGTATACAAATATGAAAATATGAATTAATTGATCATTACTAGAAAAATCTCAAAGTAATAGGTCTGGATAATTACCAGTAAAAATTATTCAAAGAGTATGCTATACAAATGGTTTTTATTGGTATATCATACTGCCAACTTTCAGAGATAACAACACTGCTCTATAAAATAACCAACAATGGGATTTCTGATTTTATAAATATGTTATACAATAGAGAAAGGCAGTTAAATAATGTGGATGGCCTTATTATCGGTTAAACATAACCGATAATAAATATATTCAACCTTTACAGGAGAATTCTGTATTGAGGTATATTGCCATAGATCTCTTAAAAGATTTTAGATTGAATGAAGATTTGACTGTGTCCCTGAGGTTATTCCATATTATAATTCATTATAATATATGGATTGAATCAGGTTAAAAAAAAGTCACTGTTAGACTTCATCTTGCTCTCCTAAAAAAAACAATAAATGTGGTCATCTGTTCATGGCATTGCTTAAAGTGACACTCCACTGCATAAATAAATAAATATCCCTGTTTTGTAGATATAACCCCAGTGAAAGCATTCATGTATTTAATTATTCATTTTTTTCATTGGGGTCTATGTCTAAAAACAGCTAGCAGAAGCCTTTTCAAGGTGTCCTCTTCTGATCTAACCCAGGCTTTCTGTGGCTGTCCAACCTCTGACTTCCCAATGCAGCTCAATGAGAAGCCTGGTGCTCTAGGCAATTGCCTGCCTCTTGAGTTTAGCGCCACTGAGCAAATCTACCAGGAAGTAACAGGATAAGCTGTCTAATTGCCAACCATGGGGTATAACAAGTTTAATTTATAAAAGTGCAAATTTTAAATTTGCTGAAGTGCTTTAGGGGTCTAGAGTGTCCCTTTAAGAGGTAATCTATACATGGAGATTATTGATGTGATTTTCTTGTGTGTGTGTGTGTGTGTGTGTATATATACAAATATGAAAATATGAATTAATTGATCATTACTAGAAAAATCTCAAAGTAATAGGTCTGGATAATTACCAGTAAAAATGATTCAAAGAGTATGCTATACAAATGGTAGAATATAAGTTGAATCTGTTTTGACTTGGTTGATATATAATGATCAATTTACCTTTCTCACCATATATAGAATGAATTGGGCGCTATTTCAAGGACTACTGAGTGGCGTTGGCAAGTTCTCCACTGCCTTTGGTCGCATCTGGCTTTCTGTTGTCTTCATCTTCCGACTTTTAGTTTATGTGGTGGCAGCGGAACGAGTATGGGGTGACGAGCAAGGGGATTTTGACTGCAACACACGGCAACCAGGATGCAACAATGTCTGTTATGATCACTATTTTCCAGTCTCTCACATTAGACTCTTTGCTCTTCAACTTATCCTGGTCACCTGCCCATCTCTACTTGTGATTATGCATGTGGCTTATCGGGAGGACAGAGAGAGAAAACGTATAAAACGTTTGGGGGAGAACTGTGGAAGGTTATATCTGGACACTGGAAAGAAGAGAGGTGGGTTATGGTGGACCTACCTCCTTAGTCTTCTTATTAAAACTATAGTGGATGCAGTATTTCTTTACATCTTTCACAGGCTCTATCCTGATTACACCCTCCCAAATACTGTCAAGTGCTCCATTGATCCCTGTCCAAACATTGTAGACTGTTTTATATCTAGACCAAGTGAGAAAACTATATTTACTCTTTTTATGGTGGGAACTTCTATACTATGCATCTTACTTAATTTATGTGAGATTGCATACCTGGTGTGCAAGAGATGTTGTGAATGCACGAAAAAGAGGAACGAACAAGTCATGAGAAAAAGTGAAAAAGTTGTCACATTCCTCCACAGTCAAGAAATTATCCGTGCTGATAACAAGCTAAATGAGGAGATGGACAACCAGTGTTCATATGTACATGCAACTGAAATTAGAAAACCTTGCTTAACTAAGGGTTAGGCATCTTTTCTCTATTCATTCTGGTGGCTGAAAGTTGTGTTAAAGGAAAACATCTAATTGGTGTGGAGTTATGATGTGGCTGACCCTAATACCAAAACAATAACACACCAAATATATCATCTCATGTTACATCAGTGGTACCTTCATCCAGGAGGCTCATACTGGAAGACATATGTATTAAACCACAGAAAAATCCTACTGCGAAAAAAAACACATGTATAATTTCTCTTAAAAAGTTGCTGTTCACTGCCAGATTAGCTATCTTATTGGTATATCATACTGCCAACTTTCAGAGATAACAACACTGCTCTATAAAATAACCAACAATGGGATTTCTTATGTTATAAATATGTTATACAATAGAGAAAGGCAGTTAAATAATGTGGATGACCTTAAGCATTTGTCATTTAATTTTCATGTGATTCTTTAAAATCATTGTATGGTTCTCTTAAGATATACCAGTGAAAATATTTAACACATGTAAAAGCGCAATGTTTACAGAACTTCAAAATATCAAATTAATTTGGTTTACCTCTTCCATGAGTGTACTTGCTTGTGCTAATTTTAGATTTGCATTTCAAAGCTAAAGAAAATATAAAAACCCCGACATAGCACCTGGGAATGCACATTACAGTACAAATGCTTAGTGTATGTAATTTTGTAGTATCGGTATTTGATCAAACTCTTTGTGACCAAAAACATAATTTCCATTTTTGCTTGCTAATATTTCATATTCTATCTAAAATATTGCAAGATAAAGAAACCCATGTAATTACTAAAACATTTTATCCTCAACATATCAGTGAAGGAAAAATGAATAATTAAAAATGAAATGTTTATTTTCAGACAGTCAGATCCATGGGGTGCCAGATTTACGGTTTAGCTGCTAATCTGGCGTGCTAGCCAGCATTCTGATTGGTTGCTTGGTATTTCAGCTTATCAAAGAATAGTTTGAATTCAAATAATGGTTACTGATGAGAATTGCATTGTCATAGTTTACCATAATTTATAGATTGACAATAGTAACATTTGGCATGTTCCCCATCTTTCATGTTTTTTTTGTATCTAATTTAATTTATCACTAAACTGGACTTAAATAGTAGAATGGCTGATGATTTAAAATTTAGATTGAGTGGAATCTTGCCTTTTGCTAATCTAATCAACATGGTTCAAATTAGATACTAGGTAAGAACAGTGAAGTATTCAACAGAGTGGGTAGTGAGTAAGTTCAAAGAACAAGTATGTTTTCAGCGGTCAATGCAATAGCAAATTTGAAAATTTATATAAAACTGAAAGTTTGCAGATGAGATCTGAACTGTTATAGTAACAGGATTATTCATGAAATTGTAACTTGTTGGGAATAAAAACTGAATTCAAAATTTTACATTTTAGATCAAAATAGCTTAACTGTAAAAATTAAAATGTTAAAATGCGAAATTCTCTTTGAATCTACTTTTAATTCCCAAGAATTAACACTTTATGAAATAACGCTGGCATGGTAGCGATTAAATAAGATAATTGGAGCAGTCTTACATCTACAGTCAGTTGACATATTCTTTTTTTAAAATTTATTTATTAAATGGCTTTGTTTCTAGAAATGAAAAATAGGTGAAACATGTTACACATTAAATATAGAATCCAGTTTTTATTTGATAATTTTAACGTTTCATTCACTAAACAGAAGAGTTGTAGGAACCTGAGAACTGACTTACAGCATTTTCCTTATAGCTTCCAAATTAGTTCTGTAGCTATTTAAAGCATTGCTTATGGAGTAAATCCTACTAGATACAATTTTGCATTCATATTGTCATTATTTTGCAGAAAAAAAAGTAAAATTGTTTTGTATTTTTTTTTGTGAGGAATCCTTCCTTAAAGGTATTATTTTAAAAATGTAATGTAAATTTTTGTACTTCTTAAAGAAAGAAATAGAAAATATTATTTATTTTGTGACTTGTGATTGTGTACTTATTGTTCATGACAATGTTGCAAATGCCATACTCTTCATTTTCCTTTGTATTTTTTATTATAAAAAGTATGCAATGCAGATACTAGAGTCCATCGTTTTAGAAATGTGTATAGGTGATTAGCATTACATAAAAGTAGTCTGTCTTCATATACCTTCATAGCAGATGTTGCATAGCCAATTTATTAGAATAGAAACTTGAAAACATTTAATATATCACTTTAAATAATGATAACCTTTTTAACTCGAAATAGTGAAAAACACTATGAGGTTAGCTATTTCTAAATAACACATAGACACAGACTCACACGAATACGTAAATACACAGTCACATAACAAAAACGGCATTAGTAAACATGTAAGGTAAACATATACAAACTTGGAGGGTTGTTCACAAAAGTGAGAATTGTCACAAATGCAATTTTAAATTAAAAGCTAAAATATCTGAATTGGATTTGAAAATTGTTCCACTATGCTTCTTGATCAGCTAGTTTTGTTCTAAAACTTGAAATTCACGTTTAATTATTTTTAATGAACTGAATAGAATTCTAACGTTAGAGAATAACACTAACAATGTGGAATACAATCACATTTGGAAGACAAAGTATTGATTCAAGTAGATCAGAGCTTAAAGGTACACTATAGTCAACAAAACAACAACTAACTTAATGAAGCAGTTTTGGTGTATAAATCATGCCCCTGCAGTCTCACGGCTTAATTCCCTGCCATTTAGGAGTTAAATCACTTTGTTCATGCAGCCCTAGTCACACCTCCCTGCATGTGACTTACACTGACTTCCTAAACACTACCTGCATAAAGTCATCTAATGTTTACACTTCATTTATTGCAAATTCTGGAGCCTCCTGTGTATAATTAAAGTTCACTTTACAGAGCAGGAGATAAAAACGTTTAAATGAAGTTTCATCTGTTTAAAAATGAATCTATTTTGTTTTCATGCAGACTGTGTCAGGCACAGCCACACTGGCTATGGCTGTATAAACAGAAACAAAATCAATTTAACTCCTAAATGGCAAATAATTGAGCAGTGAGACCGCAGGAGCATAATCTATACATACAAACTGAATCACGGTTGTTTTGATGCTTATAGTATCCATTTAAATGTGGGATAAAGGAAAGTGTTTGAAACATTTAAGGTAAGAAAAAAGGGGGTGTTTAAATGATGTGGAATTTGAAGGGTAATTTCAAACTCACTACTCACCCTCCTATGATGTCTGTACTCCAGTCACCCTCCTATGATTGATATTAGAGATGCAGTAGCTGTAATACAGAGTGCATAGAACAGCACTCAATGCCATCCTATTATATACAGAGTGCATCATTCCCTGATCCTCCAGCAAGGCATTTTCTTTGTGAGAGGCTTAGTGGGCAGATGGGAAGTGGTCCCTTCCACATCCTGTCCAACCTCACAGACAGACACTGGAGAATCTGGGATCTGATTTTTTTATACCCTCTATAACTGTTCCTGGAACTATGCTATCAAGTATAGGAGACTGACTGGGATACAGAGGACACTGACTGAGGCTCTAGGTACTTATCTCTCCCCATCCGTTCACTTGCATTTCAAAAAGGCACATTATAAATTATGAAACCAGTCACCGCCTACAGGACAGGCATCTGTAGGCAGGTGCATACTCTGACTAATGGGAAATCCACTTGTGACAGTGTCAAATTCAATAAGGGACAAAAAACAACTTTCAAGAAAATAAATATTATTATTAAGCCATTTAAGTTAGGGCATGCTATGCCATTCTGGAGGAGGCTAGCTCAAGACAACATTTGGGCGGAATAGCACACCATAACAATTTAGCCATCCTTCCAGTCTGCCTCCTTTCCTAATGCTACGAATGATAGTTTAAAAAAAAATTGTAACCCCTTCTTTGCCAGATAACTGTACTGTACAGTACCTATGCTGTACGGTAATGTATCAGTAATCAGTGTGATCAGAGGGCACTCTGATCAAGCTGTCTTTTTTTTGTTTCTCAAGGTAAAGAAGGTATGGAATACTTCACTTACATAAAGGACCCGCAGAACCCTGGTCAAATAGCTGACACATATGTGCTGATCATAACCAAGTTGTAACATATCAATATTTAATTACATTGGATTCAAACAAAAGTGTGTCTCGTATCCTCCAATTAGTGATGTGTTCTTTACCATGACAAAAAGAGGGGGTGGGGAGGGAAAGAAGTGGAGGGGTGATGGGAAGAGGTGGGAGGGAATGGAAAGGAGGGGAGGATGAAGAGAGAGGTCAAGGTGAAGGCTATACTTAATATGTAATAGGGTCACACAAATCTGTACTTATGTGTTATATGTTTGATTTTATTTTGAGCTCTAAGTATCTCATTCCTTCTTGCTCAGCTGGTGATCTGTGAATCTTGATTTCTCAGTCGTTATCTCTATCTGAAACCTGCATGTTTCTTTATGTTTAAACCCTGCACTCTATCTGAAAATCTGAATTTTTATTATAAAAAGATATTTACAAAAAAACTGACTTTTTTAATTATTTCTATTAAAAAAAAAACAAAAAAAAAAAAAACATGTTAGTGCAGGTCGCAGCTGTTTGATTTGTAATCTGTCATTTTATTTAAATGTTTGGGTTGGGTGTTGGTTATTCCGTGGGTGAAAGTGGGAAAGAGGGTGGGTGTGGGTAGTGTTTACTATGCAGGTAGGCAAATTAATTAAATTAGCCCCTTAATGACATAGCTTACATAACACCCATAAAACGGAACAGCAGAGGAGACCATTCTGGCAGGCTCTGAGAGTCACACTCTTGACAGCCTCTGACATTAAGCCCCTACGTGATGATTAGGATGCCACGCAGTGCCAGAGGAAAACTGCCCCAGAAATATCCCCTTTCACAGCTACACCTGGCATCACAAAAACATTAGATGCTTGTGAGCCAATTAACTATTTTAGCATCTTTATGTCTGACAACATATTTGAGCTGATAGTCGAGCAAACCACCTTGTTTGCAAACCAGTATCTTTCGGCAAATCTGGGGTCACATTACAGAAGAAACAACATGAGGCATCCCGATTTCACAGAAATAATTTGGGGCTCTAAACCTATTAACGGATGTGAAGAACTGCCCTATGAAACTTCCCATTTTACCGAATTATTTCCCCTTGGTTCGGTACTTCTAAACTACTGAACACTGACAACCCCCCTTATTTGTTAACTTCAAAGAAACCACAAACTTAAGTGCTCTCTCTGAGAGGCCATTTTGTCTTCCAAACACAGGCAGGAGTACTTGGTCGTCGAGTGCGTGGAACTCTATTTCGGATGCTTTGCCTCGCGAACCCTGGGAAAATCATATCGTTGCCTGCTCCATTCCCAGGCAAGCCAGGAGAGCGCTTTTTGGGGGAAAGACACACTTGAATGGGAAGAACATTTGCTCTCTACGAGCCAGGGGGAGCCTTCATTTATATTCGTATAGGAACTCCCGAAGGTCAAACTTTACCCCGGGGGCGATTTGGCAATACTACATGGATCTGAGCGCCCAAGTTGTCTGAATAGCGCTCAGATCCATGTAGTATAGCCAAGCTATCTGGGGATATAATACTTGTGGGGGTTCCTATCTATATTGGTATCTATATTGGATGTATTTTGATATGTTTATTTGTTATACCTATAAGAAAGGAGTCCAAAAGGACTCCAGTTAATACTGCTCTTCCTGTATGGAAATAAGGGCGCAGTGCCTTTAGTCTCTAACCCAGGATATGGTTAATAGATATGTGGAGAGAAAAAAAAAAACAAGAGAAAACAATATAGTGTAGCATCTTCTGACAGTTGGTGAAAGGAGTATAAAAATACACTTACAATTTTCAGGAGCTATAGATCAGCTCCACATGGTGGCACCTTGGCAGTTCCCGTTTATTGATGGGGTGGTCCTGTAGGGCCTTGGCAGATGTATCTGGATCTGATCACCATAGAAACTGTGTGTATTTCCAAACTTGAAAGCAGTGTGTCGCCGTTGTAGATATGTATGAAAATATAAAACAGCAAATAGTGCTCACTGGTATGAAATCTCATAGGTGGTATAATCCCCACCAAGGATATAGCTGGAGTTTTCCTTTTGACAAAATATTCTTTAAAAACTTCCAGGCGGTATGGCGCCTGCCTGCCATGCTGATTGGTCACATGCTTGAGAGGCTCCTGCAGAATCTGGACTTTTTATGCAGAAATTCAGGGATTACTTGAATTAGTTGTTGGTGCTACTGTGGACTCTGAGACCGGGTGTTTTGAGGCCCAAATGGGTGTTCTGAAACTTTGGAAACATCATATCCAGGACCCCCGTTGTTGGCCCCAAATGTGCCGGAACAGAGGGCACAGGTTGAAGGCTCATGTTTTATCTGGGGCTGGCGGAGTTGCACCTTCCAGACTCACCTTCATGCCGGGACTCTGATGTTAATGTACCCAAGTGGGAGGTGGGAATGGGCTGAGCACAGAGGATCCAGCAGACTTACCTGCATTCCATCACCACCAGTCTCCTGGAGGTGAGCCTGAAGGCTACACAGCATTCCATCCAGGAATCCAGTGGCCCCTACTCGGTTTTACTATGCTTGTGTTTACCTGCTTTCATTTATTTTATTTTTTGTACATCTCTACTTGGGCATTGGTTAGCAATTAGTTGGGCATATCTACTATTAAGTGACTACTGTGTATTGAGCCAATATTTAAAATGTGTATCTACATTAGGTTAAGCTGACAGTCAAATCCATGTTGTTAATTTCAACAGAATGGCAGATTACTTGCTCAGATAAATTTTACGGTCGAGGTCTGGTGTGCCTTGAATGACGCAACCTAATGCCCCACCTAATGCCCTAAGGTGCAGATGCATGTCTCACAATACAATACCTGCCCAAATTGTCTTAGCACACAGTGCCTGTGTTATATCAGTGTACTCCTACTGCTTATAATCCGCTAAAACTGTTTTGCTTGTTCTTCTAAAAAAAAAGTGCAGTCTATTTTGTGATTTTCTGTTGAGGAATATGTCTATGTAATCAGTGAATTTGTAAATTTTTTGATTACTTTGGTTTTCTGACCTTGGCTAGTCCTGATTACTCTTTGTTAGCTGCCTGTACCAACTTATTGGCTTGTTACAGCAACTACCCTGCCTTCTGGATTCTGATCTGGATTCCTGATCTTGGCCTGTCCCTGTTTGCATTAAGCCCAATAATTACATAATGGCTACACCAAACAACTCAAAAAAACTACATTTAGTAAACTTGTTAAAACAGTATGCAATCAGGGACAAATTTCTTTCTTAGGGTGCCATGTTCTCTGAAAGAGGACATAGGCCCAGAAAATCAATCACTTTATCAAATGTATATGATGGATTTTTCTTTAAGAAATGAACTATGTTTCTTTAAGAAATGTACTCCTATTTAAATGGGTAAATCCTCATGTTTGGTACTCAATTAATGAGCCTGAGCCATGTGCTCATTTTCTCTTTTCTACCTAGCATTCTCTCTCCCGTGTCGGAATTGAACTCTGCAACCTCGAACATCTCTGATACTTAACCGGCTTACCATTCCTTTGGCAATGAACTTCTGGCTTACTCTCATTGAACCATTCATTTCAGCAATCCCCTTGCAAATATTCTCTGACTGACTCAGAAAGAAATACAATTACTCTTTATCTCTCTCCACGATTCCTACATGGACAGATTACCTTGCGCTGCCGTCAACTCATAGACATGTTTAAAAAACTGTGGCTTATTTCTCAACCCCTCTGTATTTCCACTCGATCTCTCATTTACCGGTATTCAACCTTTGCCTAATATGTTTAAAAATGATCATGGAAATCCTTTGTTGAACAGACTGACTTAATGGTAATGAATCTGGACACTATTTATGGCATTTCTTCACTCTTCCTCTCCTAGAATAAAAGAAAGAGGTACCTTCAAGAAAACCTAAGACACTATCATTGTTATTATTATACACAAATAGGTTCTCTATTTTACCTATAACCTTCATCTTGGCATTTTCTCTCTAATGTTTGTTTTATATTCAGGAAGAAAATATTCTAGTAATCAGTTTATTTGAATAAACTAGTGTCATTTCAAGGAAACATTACTAAAAGGAAACATTTCCTGTTTTAATTCTTATAAAGGTGCATGCCAGACAAAGTGCAATAGTGCAATAAAAATACTGAAGCTTTATTGCACTGACTCAAATTAGGATAATGACATTTCCTGTGAAAATAAAAATATTACCATTTAATGAGGCTGGCATTTGTGATAAAGTGACTAGATCAAACAATTCAGATTACACAATTTGGACTACCATGGGTTGCCTAGTTTAAAAAATATGCCATTGTGTGGCCATTTCTTTCCTGGGTTGCCACACTGCCTCAAAAAAGACATAGACCAAGAAAATCCATTTGTCAAATTAACAAGTTGAAAAGGGCATCTAATATACTTACCTGGAAAAAAACCTGGAAAACTCATACATGGGGGGAAATTCATTGGTAAATAAATCTTTTGTCATCATAGATCATCCTGATCCATTTAGTTTTTGTTTGTTTTAAAAAAAAAAAAATTTTTTTAATCCTTTAGGGGTTCTTTTTTCATTAATATATTACTCCAAAGTTGCTACGTCCCATTTAATCCTAATTTTTTACTCATAAGTTTTTCTAGGGATTTTTGGCAACTCTGAACTGACTTACCGCCCATTGGATCAGCCCGATCAAGGTCTTCTTGTGCCATAGGAAAAAAAGTGATCTATATTGGTGCAGCATTTCCTCTATTTTCAAACAGTGCCATAGTAAATTGCAAATATTGTGAATATAGCAGCTATAAAACACACCAGGTGGAAAAAAGTAAAAGTATATGCAAATTCTTCCCCAAAAGGGGGATATTGTGTTGAGAAAAATATATTCCCTAAAAGGAAATATTGTGTGGAAACTATATATTAAAGAAAAAATAACCCATAGAGGTTTAAGATTCCTTAAAAATCTATGGTTTGATCAGAATGATGAAAGATTTATGGAAGAATGGATAACAATGTTCTTTTGCGATGATGAAATTGATAATTAAGAGAAGAAAAAAAAAAGATAATTAAGAGAAAAAAAATTGAGAAAGAAACCGTACAAGCTATAAAGAGAAAATATCTAAGAGATTAAACTGACTATGCAAGGAATTAAGTAATAACTTTTTTCCAAGAGTAAGATTCCTAAAAAAAAATGGGAACAATGCCCTATCAAAAGAAAAAAAGGATCACACAAAGGTTAGGTAATTGGTAATTAAAGCAAGTGTTAATTATCTAGGAGGAAAGTCAGGATAACCTCAACAGATCTATTAAATACATCAACCAAAATGAATACAATCTCCAGTACATGCCCACATGTCATTTTGAACAGATAAAACTTTTGGGATCTCACCATATATGTGGAAGATAATGTTTTAAAGAAAAAAAAAACATTCTTTATGAGTACAGATTGCAATACTGCATTATATAGATCTAGTGCACACCTTCCCTTCTGGCTCAGAAATATCCTTAAATGGCAACTTACACACCTCAGATGAAATTGCTCAGATGTTCATGTGTTTAAAAATCAATCTAGCATAATCAAAAAAGGTATAGTGATAAGGGATAGAATAAAAAATGAGTTAGAAAGAGATTAATTAAGTCTGATTCAAACTGATCAGATGGATCTTTTAAAGAAGGACAAACATAATATGAAAAGGGATAATACTAATTTTGAGTTTCCTTTTTTACTAAATACAATTCACAAGCTAAAAGATTCTAAAAAAAATTATTGGTACCTTCACTAAAAAGATGAGTTCCTTAATAAAATTTTACTAGAGAAACCTACTGTGATTTTCAAGAAGGTGGATAAGCAAAAAAACAAAATAGTTCCTGGTCTGTTACCACATAAAAAAAACAATAGAACTCTGATTTTTTCCAAAGAGATACTAATGTTTTTTATTATTCTGGTAGATGTTTAACATGCACACACCAAAATAGAACCACAAAATCCTTTAGAGGAACATACACAAATCAAGTATACAATATAAAATAATTTATACAGTGCGCCATGACACAAGTAACATATCTATTGCAAAGTGGTTGTGGCGCTCAATATATAAGCAGGACAACTCGCAAATTACACGTTAGACTTTATGAACAGTGCATAGTGTTAAAACCACCATCTAGCCCCCCTGGGCCCCTCATGCCTCCACAAATATAATGTATTCAAGCCTGAAGCTGTAGATCTGCATGCTGTTTGCCTCAGTAAAACAAGCTGTATCCTGACATTATCAGAAGTGGTAGCCTGATCCAATCACAATGTTTCCCCATAGGATTGGCTGAAACTCACAAGGAGGCAGATCAGGGGCAGAGCCAGCATGATTCAAACACAGCGCTGGCCAATCAGCATCTCCTCATAGAGATGAATTGAATCAATGAATCTCTATGAGGAAAGTTCAGTGTTTGCATGCAGAGGGAGGAGATACGGAATGTTTGGATGCATTTTAGGCAGCCATAACCCAGGAAGGATCTCTAACAGCCATCTGAGGAGTGGCCAGTGAAGTTATCACTAGGCTGTAATGTAAACACTGCATTTACTCTGAAAAGACAGTGTTTACAGCAAAAAGCCTGAATGTAATGATTCTACTCACCAGAACAAATTCACTAAGCTGTAGTTGTTCTGCTGACTATAGTGTCTCTTTAAGTTTTTACTGACATTTATTTTTCTTTCAGATATACCTTTAAATTTGAAGCCTGTGCATTCTGTTCACATGATTTTGTGCTGTGGAAAAGGTACTTTGTGCACTTTGACAGCTTCTGATCGCACAAACCGGCCTCTTGGTTTCAGATGGTTTTGCACGCATTTGCAATTCGAGGGACGCTTCACGTTTAATGTATTTAAAGGCACCTGTGAGTATGGAGATGGCTCTTGGCACCAGTATGAGTTGTTTTACTGCTTTCTGCTGTATTTGTTGGTGTAGAAGTTCTTAAAGTGCCCGCAAGTTTGGTTTCAAATTGCCTCAGGTAGGATTATGTCTGGTTAGACATATATTATTTTTTAAAATATATTTCTTTTATGTATTACACTTAATAAATGTATTTATATATTTATTTTAGTTAGCCTATTATGACCTCTCCAGCTAAAGCTTGAATATCTATTTCTGAATCTGGGTAAGTGAAGTTTATTCAGTCTTGGGTTTTTGTTTATTTTAAAATACACTATTATGCTTTATAGTAATGAAGAGCGCACGGTGGCTTCCCACTTAGGAAATGGAGGGAAAAGTCCAACCCTTGCACAGGATGCAATGGCAAGGAATTGGAGGGTCAACGGTTATGCTTAGACTGTCCAACCCTTGCACAGGATGCAATGGCAAGGAATTGAAGGGTAAACGGTTATGCTTAGACTGTCTACAGAAAGTAGCAGTATTATCGTCTATAACTATTGTCTTTCGACAGATTTATTATCTTGGATAAGGAAGGAGGTAACCCAGGGCATTTCGGAAGCCCTTGAGGTAAGAAAGAGGTCTGAGAAAAGACCCAGACAGAGGCAAGACTCTTCACAGTCCTTTGACTCTGAAGGCATTGAACCTATGGGGGAATTTGAGGTCCTGGATCAAATAGACTCCAGTGACAGTGGAAGTAAAATGATGAGTGAAGCCCTAGATTCTAAATTAATCCTTATGGTGAGGAAATCGTTAGAGATTCCTGAGGATGTCCCCAAAGTTGAAGGTTCAGACAAGCACTTTGCTGATCTGAATAAGCAAAGATTATCCTTCCCTCTACGCAAGTACATTAAGGACTTAATTACAGCTAAGTGAAAAAAGCCAGAGAAGAAGGTGGCCTTCCAAGGTAAATTGGTAAGATTATACCCTCTGGAAGAGAGCATTTCTGAGCTATAAAAGGGCAGTACTTAAACTGTAATTGCCTGTAATAGCTGCCTGTAGAATCTGCCTCACATTTTCATCTAGCCATGATTCTGTAATGCACGCTAATTTGTATGTTTCAATAATGTCGGCAATAATAGCTGTTTTGTTCCTTATTGATCTGGCATTGCACAGGATTGATCTGATAGGACAGTCTTGGGATTCTGAGTTTTTGCTCTGTACTTTGGAAACAGTGTGTCTTCTAATGGGGATCACACAAAGAGGTTTCCTTCATTTGATAGTCTTGAGAAATAGAATCATAAAAGTATTTGCCAGAACAGAGCCCAGACAAGTATACAAAATAGACTTGTGCACAGTAAGATTTTCTCCAAATTGTAATTTTGTTTGACAATTTCGACATCATATGACAATTCGGCTCGGCTGAATATCGTCCATGGGAAATATTTGGGCATGAGAAATAAGTTGAAAAAAAGGGGCCCATTAGCGTGCTGCAATGGAAAAATGTTTACAATAATGCTTAGAGCCATTTTGCTATGACAATTCTGACAGGGTTTGTCACTAAAGTGAGAATTCAAAGTGAATTTCAAATTGAAGTCCAAATTAGCTGAATTGGAAGCTTAGCTGAACTAGAGAATGTTTCCCTTGTTTGGCTATTTTGTCAACTTGTCATAATAATATCTTTATCATAAAAACCTAGAGAGACTAGTTTTATAGTGCTGACTGATTGTTTATCCTTTTGTAATCTTGCATTAATTAATAATGGGTACCAGCTGAAGCAGGAGTCATTTTAAGATGAAAAAATGTGTTTTGTTATTTTCATAAAATCAAAGGAAAAGGTCAGTGGGCAATTGATGACCCACTCACCCCCTCCACCCTGAGAATAGACATCCAGTCTATTCTAAGAAACTTTAAGTGACTTATTAATAACAAATTACCAAACTAAAATGAACATTGTATCATACTTATACAGACTGCTTTTTAAACACTTTTATTGTAGTTTAACGCAGTGGTGTACTAAAGGGGGTGGATGGGCAGGCTGCCCCCACCCATTAGGAGGGTGCTGCCAGGGCCAGAGCAACAATAAGCCGGCACAAGCGATCACCCAGAGCCTACCAGTCACTTCATGTAGTCTGGCCAAGTGGACCTCGGTAGAGGATCTTCTGTATCCTCTACCTGGTCTGACAAGAAGAACTGACTGAGAGCAACAAACAGCTTCCTGTCAGGCCGGGTAGAGAAAACAGAATATCCTCTACCGAGATTTGTATGGTGGTCCGCCCTCAAAAGCTACATGGAAGGAGGTCAGCAGGCAAAAGACAGGAGGTGTAGTGGAAGAGACTGCAAAGGGATGTGTGCTCTGTGCTATATAATTTCATACATTATTTTTCATTGTTATAGTTGTTGACATACAGTTTACAAATTTGTGCAATAAATATTCTTGAAAACATTAAAAATATTTTCAAGTGTTATTTACATTTTAAAGTTGTGGGTGGTGCCAAATATAGTACCTGCCCTGTGTGCCAATTGCTCTATGTACGCCCCTGGTTTAAAGACACATTACTGCTAGTATTATTGCTATGGAGCTCTTGTATAAATTCAGAAATACCAAGAATACTGAGCACATACATAATAGGGACATTAGGACAGAAAAAAAGGAACAAAAGAATTTGGGCACAAAATAGAGACTGTCCCTCCTAACTGGGGAGGCATGCAATTGTCCATGCCCACTATTTTTTTCTTGAGTGCCCTATTAGCTACTCTCAATCTTGTGAGAGTGCAAGGCTCAGACAGGCAGGGCAAAATCAGTATATCCAATACCATCCAATGCCATCACTTGTTAGAACACATTATTTTCTACAAAGGGTTTCAAACAGACCTGCCACACTCATTACAGGGTTCAATTGTGCAGTTAACTGCCACACACTGTTTATTGAAGAAGAACCTTGCAATTTGCAAAGCACAGTGTCACTGAAGCACACTGCAAATCATTAAATAAAATGTTGTTTATATTTTGCATTTACTAGTTGGTTAAAAATAGAATCAGATGTTATTTCCTAGTGTCATCAGGGCATTTTCATAGTAGGTGCACATTTCTCCAAAATTAAGACTTTAATTAAGGTTCTCATGATGCAAGACAACATCCTCACAGTGAAAAATAATGATGGGTTCTTGGTTAATCAGTAAATTAAAAAGGTTTTCTGTACTGCATTTTCTTCTGACCTTATTGTTTGCAATAGAAGAAAAATAAGAATAAAAATAAAAAAAAGATTTTAGAGACTGCAGGTAGTTAATTACAAACACAGCAAAAACTAATACGGAATAATTAACACATAAGAAAATAAATATGCAAACAGCATGACACCACTGAAAATGCCTGCCTATTATTCTGCTAATTCTAAAACCCTGCTGTGATTTATTATTTCTGATATTTAGCTGATAAGATTTAGGCAATAGCTATTTCTAATGAGTTCTCCTTTGCAACGCAATAATGGATATTCAATTATATGGCCTTCTCAATTAAACCAAGATTCTAGTTTATTTTTAATTAACATTTAATTAAATAAAAGCTGAAACAGAGCAAAATAACAATGTGCACTGGTTCTTTCTAAACTTTGCTTAACAGTTTTATGGGGCATTATACAAGTGCATTTGTCTAATCTCTTATCAGGAAAGCATTAACAATTTTTCATAGCATTAAAATTGGACGATTACACATTTTTTTTTTTTACATGTGGTGGGTTTTCTCCCCTTTAATTTCATTCACTTTTAAACAAGTTTTCTGAAAATCGATGGCTATGTGCTTGTTCACTGATCTATGGTTCTTATTGTACTATCATAAGTGCAATAAAAGTTACAGTCGTACAGGACTTTGCCTGTTGTGGACAAAGACTCAAATATTACTTGACTCACATGGAACTTTTAGACGATCATGGGAAATTTGGTCTAAAACATGTTTTATCCCCTAAAGAACGAATGCAATTGTACAAGATTTACCAAAATAAAACCTGGAATTTGACTATATGTCTGTTCAACCATAATTTACTTATTTCATATTAAGGGCACACACACTTATTATATTATCATTTTGTTCAGGAGAAACAGGGCTTTCATTTCACAACAAATATTGAGATATGGAACACCTTTTAATATGAATAAAACCTAAAAAAGTGTGAGAAGTTAAGAAATGTTGTTATATTCAAATTTCATGAATAACATTTTAACATTAAAAACTGTCAACTGTTAGCATTTACTGCAATAAACCACACATATTTGTATGCTGTCATGTCCCACGAGTACACCGATGCCACCCATGTACAGGTTTCATGGTGTTTTGAAAAGTAACAGGGTCAAATAAAAAGCTTAAAAGTAAACCAGTGCAATTTAAGCAAACACAAGTTATATAGGTTAGTGGAGCGCTTTAAAAACCACACAAATAAAAGTTATTCTTACCCTCGTAATATGGGTAAGGAAAAGTATTTACCAGTATGACATAAAAAAAAAAGAAAAAGCATATAATGCAGATGTATTGGATTGGATAATCTGCACTATATGCTTTTTCTTTTTTTATTTTACGTCATGCTGATGAATACTTTTAAATATCCATGTTACAAGGGTAAGGATAACTTTTATTTGTGTGATTTTTAAACTGCTCCACTATCCTATTTAAATTTTGCCCCTATTTACTTAATAGGTAATATTTTATTTGTGTGGGTAAGAAGGTATTTCCACAAAAGTGTTTTAGAGCTGCTTTTTTACTAAGTATAGATTTTAAGGGCTGCATTATTGGTCACAATTCCTCCTTGAGAGGGTGTACTTGTTTTGTTTTTTGGGGTATTTAAAGAGCTTGCACATTTCAGTTTTCATTCATTGAAATTTGCCAGATTGGTTTGCTAGCCCTGTGTTGCCTTTAAGACCGTATTGCAGACAAGGAATGAAAATTACCCTTTGCAAAAATAAACTACCCAGGGTAATGGAGTATGTCCAGTCTTTTTTTAGTAGCCATTTAGTCACAAACCCTGGTCAATGTTAGTGTTCATATTTGTTTTTTGCATTTTCCACACAAAAACTGCCCTTTCACAGATGATATCATCTTCATTATATGTTTTACTACTCTAAAGCACTCATATTTGTGTTCAGCAATGTCTCATGAGTACAACAGTGGATTGTTATGCGGTCAAATATATATATAAATATTAAATTCTCCGGGCTTTCTTCTTCGTCAGACATCTCAGTCTCCCCCGTCACCGCTGTGGCACTACCTCTGCTTCTTCCTGACTGGCGGAGCCCGCCGTTTACCTCGGTCAGAAACGTATGTTCATACAATGCTGTATTACAAGAATATATTTAGCTCCTGAAACAGTTGAAAATTCTGTCTTGCAAAGAGGCAAAGCTCAATTCCTGCCTCTTGTGTTAGTCCACCATATTATGCATGCAGTTCAATCTTAAATATTGAGGCAAAACTTTTCTTGCATCCTGCTGTACTTCAACATCTTGATATGCAACATCTTATATTATGGAAGAAAGTTTCATGAACAAATATATATATTTAAAAAATCCATCATTTCTTACAGACAATAAAAAAATTCTTTATTATTCAACCAGAAATTATATATATAAAAACAATTATATAAGAAATATATTTAAAAAATATATATATAGCCTCACCACATATCAGTTTTAACATACATTATCTACCAAATCCATTTTCAAAATTCGTAAAAATCTTTATCATACATGAAAATATTAGTCAATAAACATATGAACCATATCAATAAATACATAGTAAAATATAAAACAAAATTTATAATGTGAAAATGTATTCCCTATAAAAAATATACTTTAATTAAAACACAAAACATTATTACAATCTAAATAACATACATAATCAAATAGCAATGAATCATTC